TTTTCCCCCAAAAGGGCTGTTACAACCCTCTTTAATAACATCTAAAAGACAGTAAAGCGGGCTTTTCCTTTGTAAAAAAAAAATCCTACAACTAAAGGAGAAGGGAATAAAGAGCATATTTAAAATAAGTCTGACTTCATGCTTTATATTTCAAATGCTTTCACTGTTTTTCCTTTTTTCTATGTCTTTAATAAAAGCTGAAAAAGGTTTTTAGTGGTGCATTTGCCAGGAAACTAAGTGAGCCAAGGTCTCTGTGCTCAAAATCCTGACCCATGTTTAACTGTTTAGTGTTGTACAGTAACAGGGTTATGTTAACACCGTGGGTTCTCTGGACCTATCTATCCCATGAAAATTAACACAACAGACACATGACCTCACCTAGTGCTGCAGAGCTCTTCTGTCAGTCCACCTGTTGGCAAGAGTTGTTGTCTTGCATAAAACAGCGAAGTAAAGCTGCTGGCATTGCAGGGAAGGCACAGCTTGTTACTTCCACCAAGATACGAGAGAGAGAGGCTTTTGCTTTTGGTCAGAGGAATCTGGAGAAAGACCGTGTTCTGCAGGAAAGCCTAGGAACAGCGAGGGCGAAAGAGAAAGCTTAGGCTGGGTTTTATGTTCTGGTGATTTTGTTTGAGCTGCTAGTACGGTCAATCCCAAGAAGAGATTCATTGTCATCTTATGTAGTATGCATAACCTTTATTTGGAGGACAATGGGAACATCCAGCTCTTACCTGCAGTGCCATAGTCTGTACCATGTTATACAAAAGGGTTTTGAGTCGCATGCTACCATTAATAAATCTCTTCTGACAGCTCAGTAAGACTTTAATTCTCATGTCTACCACTTGAAATAGGGATAGAAAACAATAGTCTTTACGTGGATTGATCTGTCCATCTACTCAGTTACAAATATATCTGTTCCCTGCTGAAAGTGGTCAGAACTGCTCTGGTATGTTGCTGTTGTCCTAATAATACTCTGTATTTCTTTCATACACTGAGACTTATTGTAGGTAATTAACAGTGGTGCACACAGAGATGTTTTCCAGTTGCTTAAAATACTTTGCTGCCACTTGCATCTGTATAGTGTTGAAAATGTTTGTATTAAAAATTAATAGCACTATACAAGGAAGATATAGTTATAAGAACAGTCTTCCCACTCTCTGCATATCATAGTCAAATTTGCCTGGGCCCACTTGATACTACACCCACAGGGTTTTCCCATTGTATCTTAATAGAAGTTGGCGCAGACCTCAGATGAGCTCAAAATACTTTATTTAAAAAATTATTTCTATTACACATCATAAATTACATAAGGCAATCCCGTTTGTAATTAAAAATACCATCCTTTCTTCTCCAAGTCGTACAAGTTTAACAATACAAGAAGAATGACATTTCCACTGCACAGAGCAGGTGTTATATGATAATTTGGTGCCCAGGTATACGTAGGCATGTGCTTGTGCGCACACACATTTTGTAAGTATGTTTGAATATTTTCCTTGTTTGCTGGTACATATCTAAGAGTTAAATGAATACTGGTTGGTATCCTATGTAATCAAGAGTTTCATCAGCTTAGCTACATGAAATGTTCAGTGGATTTCACCAGAACTGCTATTGATCTTGTTACTGTCCTGCACTGTATCGTAAACTGGATGGAGTATATAGTCTACTAAAAAACCAGACTACAGACCAGAAATCATAATCTTTACTTAACTTGTTTATGTAAGAATTTTTTTAAGGCAGACATTGTGTAATTAGTTGCAGTGTTAAAAATTAACTATTGCATAAAACAGAATCAATAAGATAAATCAATGTAGAATATTTGTTTCAGTTGTATAGCAGGTAAAAGCTAAATGGTTTTCTGATTTTTAATGTTGGGGTTTTCAGAAGCGTCTAAGAAAGCAATACACCCAAATCGTGTGGAAATTTAGGAACTCCTTTTAGTTTCTTTTGAAAATTGTAGCCTACATGTGTGTGTACTGTACAGCCCTGGGAAATGAACACTTCCAATCATCATGCAGACTGCTTGCTACTGAATAGCACTGAGTTCCTGTAATATACTTTCTCTTACAGGGCAGGTGGAGTTTTAAGACTCCAGAACTATGTGCAACAGAGTAAGAAGAGCATTACACGTTCTCACCATGAAAATAAGAAAAGAATAAGAAGTTGTGAGATAGTTACTAGCCTTTGGAAACCAAATAAACTCCTTATGTAACAGAAAATGTATTTTTAGAGGAAGTCTCTTCAAAACAATTTGCATTAGATTCTTCTAGGACAAATACTAGAGTGACATGTTTACACATGACCATTTTCTTTCCTAAAGATTCACTTGCTACAGCAACTGAGGCTAGAAAGTTTGAGTATCTCATTCTTCCACCATTGTAAAAGAGCTCCAAGTAAGCTCGAAAGCCTGTGTCTCGCCAACTGAAGTTGGTCTAATAAAAGATATTAACTCACCCACCTTGTCTCTCCAATATTGTGGGACCGACACAGCTCCAACAACACTACATACCATTATGAGAAGTACCACAGCATGCTAGTTTCTCATTCATTTTCCATAGCACAGATCATCTCTGTGACATGTCAGTCCATATCCTTTATGAAAATATGCTTATGATATGAATGACATAACTGAGATATACTTTATGGAAGATGGCTCATGTGAGATATCATTGGAAAGGTTATGATTTACTGAATGCAATTATCCTATTTGTATGCTTGGATCGTTTCTGTATCTGAAGTTAGGAATATTGACTATGTATCTGTATTTCAACTATCTACTTTGGGTTATGCCCACTGATAACACTTCAGGTACAACAATGGAAAAGCCAGACATGGGCGGATGGCCTGTCAGCGAGGACAATGGACTGTGAAAAGTTTGACCTTCCTGTGGCCGCTCCATATTGCCACTGATTCATGGATGCTGTGATCCTACAGAGTCAGGTGGTCTTGTCACCTGATACTAAAACATTACCTGGGACTTCTTGTAATTTTCCACTGTAAGGGAAGAGGGGACAAATTGGGAAACAAAGGATTCCTGCCTTAGGTAAATCCTATTTAAGGGTGGGAAGGAAGGCAAACAGTACTCCTCCTCTCCAGGGGTTCTAGTCTGAAAAGGAATATAACTGGAACTCTGAACCATAGAAACTTTGCAAACTGCCTGCAACGTTATCTAGGGTAAGAAATACTATTGTAACCAATTTCTTTAGTGAAACTACCTTAGTTTGATTGTTTGATTTCATTTGCTTAGTAATCTGATTTGTTCTGTTTGTTACCCCTTTTACCACTTAAAATCTGCCTTTTATAGTTAATAAATTGTGTTTAGTTTATTATTAACCCCAGTTTCTGTAATTTCTAATGGGGGAGGGGGGACCAGACAAGAAGTGTGTACACCTCTTTCCACATTGAGAGAATGGGTGAATTTCATAATATATTTTGGGTCTGCGCTCCAAGGGAGTGGACATCTGATTGCTGGAGCAAGTCCCTTACACTGAGTCTTCCCAGAGCTGATCAGCAGCTGGGTGTGGCCCTGCCTGTGTGTGTGTTAGTGGCGGCTTTAATAGCCTGGCTCAGCAAGACAGGTTAAAGGGGGCTTGTGCTGGCAGAACAGGTAGACTCGGAGGTTATTCAGCACAACAGGTGGCTTCCCAAGGGGTCCATCCCATCACAATCTCAACCCTTGAAAATCAACATGGGTAAAGCTTTGGAGGAGAAAACATTATTTCCTCACAGAGTTTATCCCTTATAATTTTGTCAGGAACCTGTTTTTACCTCCCTATCCCCACGCTGGATCACTGGAGACTGGGTCACTGGGCCTGCCCAGAAATATTGAGGATCCCGGGGAAGCTGTGGGAGGTTAGAGCTATCTGCAAAGATGCCTGGTGCCGCTGCACTTTTTCTGGCTCCTGATGCTACTCCTGCTCCCTACCACCAGAAACTGTAGAAAGGGTAGTCCAGTCTGAAGCTGTATCATCTTAGCCAGAAGAATCTCTGCAGGGCCAGAAGGGGGATGATGGATATCATCCCTGTAGATCCTGCCCTAGCCCAATCAGTGTCTACCCTCTTCCCCGCTATGGACCCTGAAGCTGCAAAGAACTCTTTCTCTGCCTCAAGGGAAGGACATGTTTCCATAGGAGTGTCTGACACATTTATGTGATCTGCACAGAGGGGGCCTTCTTTCATGGGCTCATCTGGGGTGAAAGAATCCAGGCCAATTAGAGTATGTGCAGAGAAACATACTACAAGCACATGTCAGAGATGGTCTAGGTATATTTTGTCCTGCCTCAGTGCTGGGGACTAGACTAAATGACCTCTCAAGTTCTCTTCCAGCCTTATACTTCTGTCATTCTACTCAACATGAATAAGGATACTATGGACAGTCAGGGGCGGAACTAGACAGAGTCCTGACTGCCAGTTTTCTCTAGCCCCTGGTCAAGGGCCTCCCTTTTTACTAAGCACTGTCCCTCCTCATTTGAATTTTCAGACTACTGCTACAGATTAGAAAAGGGAGGGATGGTTTTATACATGTTTGCTTTGAAATCAGAATGTAAAATGAGTAACTTGAGAAGGTTGTTTTCATACTTAAATTTCTCATGTTTAGTTAAAAAGGCACAATAAGGAAATAAGAATATCAATGCCACAATATCAGAGGGGTAGCCCTGTTAGTCTGTATCCACAAAAACAATGAGGAGTCCGGTGGCACCTTAAAGACGAACAGATTTATTAGGGAATAAGCTTTCATGGGTAAAAAAACCACTTCTTCAGATGCAATGCCACCATTACCATTCAAAGACACTTTATGAGGAAAGGTACAATACTGTGTAGATACAGGTTTCAGAGTAACAGCCGTGTTAGTCTGTATTCGCAAAAAGAAAAGGAGTACTTGTGGCACCTTAGAGACTAACCAATTTATTTGAGCATGAGCTTTCGTGAGCTACAGCTCACTTCACTGCATCCGATGCATGAAAGCTCATGCTCAAATAAATTGGTTAGTCTCTAAGGTGCCACAAGTACTCCTTTTCTTTTTGTGTAGATACAGTTAAAACTGACTGTAAACGATAAAAAGGAAAGAGCTAGAGAATTTGACTAATGACCAGGTAATATTAAAAGAAATAAGTATCCACTACAGCTTTACTGAAAAGTGACTACATTGGTGTATGGCCAGAGATGTGAGAACAAATTACAAGTACATGAAAGAGTGTAAACACCAAAGGAGAGGTATTGCTTCAGATGGTCTGAAAGGGACTTGCAAATAAGTGGGAGAGGAAAGTGAGCAAAGGAACACATCAGCTATATATCAAGAGAGAATTTGTAACAACATTTTATCTTAGACTGTGAAATAGACTGGCAATGAGAGTATACTGTTTGTAGGGGCAGGGAGGAATAAACTCCTTGGGACCTCCTTTCCACTTTTACAATTTTGTTGTAATAAAACATTTAGTTAACAGAACTATGTTGTTATTTTGAATTCACTTCAGGCATCACATGGTGTCAAATCTGCTGGATCCGTTTTCCAAAGAGATTCAAAACGACCAATTTCTGTCAAAAACATGAAGTCACAAATCTAGATGAGATTCTTTAAAATATATAAACAACTGAAATAAGTTACAATCCTGAGGCATACTATGTAGTAAATTTTTGCAGTACTTTAGTGGAGCCATAGAAAGATACCTTTCGAGGGCCCATTTCAGCAACAGCTGCATCCATCATCTGATGCTAATGCAAGCCATGCAAAATATGAGAGCAGGCATTTCCACACTGAGCATATGGTGGGGTTCTCTCTCTCCCCACATTTTCAAATGACATGAAGCTTTAAAGAGGAACTTTTTGTGGGGGGAAATTTAATACAAGAATAACTTAAATACAAAGCACTTCCTCTTGCCACCAAACTGCCATATTTCCCTGACTGCTAATAAAGTTAGCAGCCAGAATCTTTCAAACTATTTCTGTTTGAAATATTTTGCATTTGCAGCTCAGCTTCTGCAGTGAAGCCATCGATCACTTTGTGATCCTGATGTCAAAAATTCATAACTGGATTACCAGCCCGTGATCCCTCCTCCCCACAGTTCCATGCAAATCCTGAATAAATAGATCCAGCATAAGTGACTGCAAGGATGGCATTCTTCCCCAGGAATGAATACAATGTTCCAGGGTCTCAAACCCATAAAGATGGTCCCTACAATCCTCCTCCATGGAGAGTTTTGACCAGTCGACTCATGAAGTCACAGATTCACTGGCCATGGCCCTGTTAGTTTTTTATCCCACCCAAATCCTAGACAGCCCTGCTACAGACAAAGCTGCCACAGAGCACTTCCCTGACATAGAAGACTTTTGCTGGGCATACTCTCCATAGCTGGGACCACTTCTCCCACTGAAACCTTCCACTACTCTTCTCCAAGCCAAAATGCTTTAGCCCTCAAGTGAAAATACCACCCATATCATCAAGGTCTTATCACTCTCCCAAGCTGGAAGCTCTTGTGCAATTAGCCTGGTTCATACCTTTGAAACAGGAAGGGACTGTGAGTTGGCCATTTATACACTGAGTGGGTATGGTATAGCCACACTTTTCCTCTTTATTTTTGCAGAAAAAGAAAATAGTTTCAGCATGCTGTATTCCTTCCTTGAGGTCTTGCTGAACTTTTATCTTCCGGCCATTGTATAACACTGTGGCTTTGTTAACTGGTATTTTACACGGTGCTGAAAAACAATTAATTTGTAAGTGGTACTTCTGAATAATCAGAGCTCTATTTAAAAACTGAATGGGCCAGGTCTTTTGAAGAAGATACAGAAATAACATTTGGAGGTAAACCACCACCATGTGGCCCATGCAGGTCTGTCCACTTGCCTAGCTAGGTGGAGTTCAGACCCTGTGTGGGATATTCGATAGTGGGCTAAGTGACTTTGAAGCATGCTTAGGTGTTTTTGAAAATCCCGCCCTGTGACTTATTGCAGTATGCTGGTTTAGATGAATACGTGTACTTGATTAATGTGGTTAATTGCCTGGTTTCCATAGGTCAGTTGTGAGTGTCTCTTTACTTCGGAACATCCAAATAAACGGCATCTTTGACCCTTTTCATAATTTAGAAGTGTGAATATGTTTCAAATGGTCTAAATATTGATGGAAAACAAATTAAGTGACATAATCACAGAAAATGTTACTTCTGATCACAGTAAATGGGGGACACTAGTGAGGCCAGGTCTACACTAGAAAAGGTTTACTGGTGTAATTATACTGGCAAACCCTTCTAGTGCAGGTACAGTTTACTCCACCATAAAACATGCTTTTGGTGGTATAGCTTTTACATTGAGGTTTTTGCCAGTATAAAAACGTTTCTTTAAAAAAGGTGGTGGGGGAGGGGGAAGTGCCCCTAAGCAACAGTGCAACACCAGCAAAAGTTTCTAATGTAGGCCTGACCAGAGTACAATGTTTTCATTCAGTTATGAGAAAGATGAGGGAAAAGAGAAAATTCAGATGTAGTGGAAATAGGTGCATGATCACTGAAGTCTATTCAGTTGTATCCTCTTACACGAGGTCAGATTTTGAAGCAGATAATCATTTCATGTTTTATTACAGACCCCAGTTTGAAACGTTTGTACTTTCTGCCTTGTAACAGTGGCCCATCTCAAAACAAAGACATCTCCCATGATGGACAGCTACACTTTTAACACAATACAGGTCAATAGATGGTTTTTAATACAGAGTATATATATATTCATACCTTTACATGATGGCTTGGTGGACCAGCGACCTGTTTTTTCACACCTTGATTCCCTTGGTCCATCTAGCACATAATGAGGCTGGCAGCCATAATCGACGCTCTCCATATAATGATAGGTTCTGCGGACTGCAAAATTTACGAATCCATTTTCTATCCCTGTTGGATGTGGACATTGTACATCTGTTGCAGAAAAAACAAAGCTGCATCTGTTGTGGAAGTTTAAGACATGTTGTATAGTGTGGAAAACATGGTAACCTTGAAACTTTCTTTGGTTCCTCTTTCACACAGATACACCATGAGAGAAGGTGAAAATGTTGGAAAGAAAAAATATTATTTTGTTTAGAAATATTTTCATTATAATCTATGGATCAGATCCTAAAATAGTGGAATTTGGCACAGGTCCACTGAAGTCAATGGAGTTATGCGAATGGGGTTACCAACTGGAGTAACTAACTGACAGTCTAGTCCTTTATTTCTTAAATTGATGAAATAATTCACCTCTAGTGCTTGGTTAGTGCAATATGTTCATGAGCCAGATTTTGCTTTCATACCAGTGGAAGTTGCTCTTGATTTGCATAAACTTAACATCATAAGTTATAGTTACCTTGGAGCAGCGTTTTGTTCTACAAAATGTGCCATCTTGAGGTCATTATCAGCACTCTGCTTTCATTCACGATTCTGCCTTTCAGAATAGGGTGAATTTTAGTCTATCCAATGTATGAGTTAACAGGTTGGTATCTTTTTAAGATAGCCCATTTTAAAAAAATTATTGTTCATGCTATTTCATACATGTTATTCTAAGAAGCTTTTAAAATAATAAAATAAATAATAATAATAAAGTAAATTAGTGATAATATATTTACTTACACCTGCATTCTGGGATATCACTCCAGCTCCCATTGGCCATACAAGTAGCGGTTTCATTTCCAAACAACGCAAAAGATGGTAAGCATTCAAAACGGATAATATCTTGGAAGACAGACTCATTTCCAGGCGTTAGCTTATGGTAAGAAATAACTCCGAATTCAGGAAGGGAGGGAGGAGGACATGTCACAGCTGGAAAAAACAGAGCATCATTATTCCACATATGTTATAAATCTAGCTCAGTGATACTCAGACTGAATCTCCAGAGCTGCAAGTGGCTTTTTAATGTGCCTCCTGCAGCTCTTTGCAGCACACATTAAAACACTGTGTGATTTAATTATTAACCAGTCTAGGTTATGAACCAATTGTTGTTGATAAAATAATAATACTTGGTCAGTTATTTTGCTGTGAGAAATAAATAAAAAATATATATACACACACATGCACAGATACACACACACACTAAATATTTCCCATCATACTGTTTAAATATGAATATATAGTACTATAGTATATGAAACGATGAATTCACACTACGGTGGCTCTTTTGGGTAATGCTGATAGCTAATTGGCTCCTGAACCACTGAGGTCTGAGAATCACTGACCTAGCTGTTACCGCTGCCTTGAGGAACATCACACAGAACGAGCACTATGCCCATCATGGAATTATGTACATCATCACAGAGAAATATATTTGCCAAAGCAATAAGATTAAAAGGCTTAGTGGCATCAACATTTGTAATTCATGGATTGCTGTAAAATTTTACAGATTATATAAAAATACATAGACCATTACAGCATATTGTTAGGATATAGATATTCAGGCCTGTCTGCAAAAGCCTGTACTTTAAGAATTTAGGTGTATTCTTATCACTTGGCTAGTTCTAGAGGTATAAAAGAAAGAATCAAAACCACTGTCTGCCAGTGTAAGGGCCTTCTCTTACTGTGACTGTTTGTGGCCCTGTGCTTAGGCTCAGGCCTTTGGCTAAGCAGCAGAGGCAGCCATAAGCTGGGAAGCGAACATTCACATCCTCACATTCCAAACTAGTCACACTGAAATAAGGTGCTATTCGGCTGTTAGGAATACAATCCTGTCCTGATAGTTCCTATCACCTTCAGAGAAAGGGAAGTGCCTGGAAAATGTAAAAGGAAACTTAGTTTGATAGCATCCTGTCTGGCAAGAACTCACTTATCAATAGCTGGGATGTGAAATCCTCACTTCTGTGTCGTCTTGTCATTGTAGTTCCCACTTTGCTATTGTTTGTCTGTATAATCTCTGTCTGGTTCTGTGATTGTTCCTGTCTGCTGTATAATTAATTTTGCTGGGTGTAAACTAATTAAGGTGGTGGGATATAATTGGTTACATAATCATGTTACAATATGTTAGGATTAGTTAGTTAAATTTCAGGAAAATGATTGGTTAAGGTATAGCTAAGCAGAACTCAAGTTTTACTATATAATCTGTAGTCAATGAGGAAGTGACTGGGTGGGGGTGGGCATGGGCACGTGGGTGTGGGTGGGGGTGGGCATGTGGGTGTGGGAAATGGGAGCAGGGAATGGGGGTAAGAAAATTGGAATCATGTTTTGCTAAAGGGGGAAATGGGAACAGGGAATGGGAGTAAGGAAGTTGGAATCATGTTTGGCTAAGGGTAGGAATGGGAACAGGGACACAGGTGTAAGGCTCTGTGGTGTCAGAGCTGGGAAGGAGGATACTAAGGAAGGGAACTGGAATCATGCTTGCTGGAAGTTCACCCCAATAAACATCGAATTGTTTGCACCTTTGGACTTCGGGTATTGTTGCTCTCTGTTCATGCGAGAAGGACCAGGGAAGTAAGTGGGTGAAGGAATAAGCCCCCTAACACATATTTGTACTTCTCTCATCAAAGTGTTCTATGTCTATGAAGGGTCAATTATGGCAAAACAACACCTACACCAGAGTTGCAGGGTTTCCCGAATATCCTAATTTCAGAGAGAGGGAGACTGAAGCAAAGAGGATAAGTGACCTGCCCACTCCCCAGGGAATCAACATCATCTCCGCTCTAGTATTAGAATTCAGGAGTCCCAGACTCCCATTCTATTAAACAGATTATTAAACTACACTTCTCTTACAATGCACACATCAAAAAAAAAAAAAAGAAGAAGAAGAAGAAGAAGAAGAAGATCCCACCATTATTTCTCTCCATGTCAAAGATAGAAGGTCTGATTCTTATTTACACTGAGTTCCTCTACACTGCTCTGGCACTGCTAAGAAGCCTTGGAGTGGATGTAAATATATTTATGCCCACTTTACGCGTCTTTAAAAGGCCAAAACAACATAAAGAAGTCTTGACTGTAAATAAGAATAAGGCCCAGAGAATTTCTTTTATATATGGGAAACGTACGTTGGCATTCAGGTAGTTTTCCACTCCACTGTCCATCTGCCATGCACTGGCTAGTGTTTGCTCCATAGAGAATGTATCTGAAGAGAAAGAGACCCATTTATAAGCAAGCTTTGAGACCATTTGCATGTAGCAGAATTGAAATAATCTTTACAAGAGGGACTGGTACTTCTCTAAAAGAGACCTAGCAAGCAGATATGCACTGCACCGTATGGTCCAAATCCTGGAATCCTTCCCTAGTTCAAACACCCATTGACTTTAATGGGAATTTTGATTAAAACCTGAAAAAATTGGCTCTATACTAACACTGCAAGTTTCCAAAAGGCGTGGTTTCACAATAGGAGAAAACGAATATGAGGCCGATGCCTTCCACATTCAACTATATATAGTATTTGACAAATTGGTTTATATAATTGATTAATACGGTGTATACATGCACGTAAAGAATATTGATTTGTCATTAATACAGTGGATGGTACAATAAATGGTTTCTGGGGAGCAATGCTCAGTTATCTATGACAAGTACATTGATTCTGTTTGTCTAAAATCAGATACTTCAGGGTAGACACCATAGACACCAGTTAGACACCAGTTAGCCCAGTTTAATTCTCATGAACATTCCCTCTAATGTCCTTATCTCCAGACTTCCATGATTATATTAGTGAAAGTACTTACACTGAGTTTTAATGAAATGCTCATCCTGTTTCTGTCATTTCTATATTACACAGCTGGAAACCAGCAAATTATCATTAGCAAAATGAAGTCCATCAATCAAATCCCATTATTATACTGAATGTCAGAGTTGCCTTTATTTATTGCTTGTTATACTGTGTTTCTCAGAGGAGCAGCTTGAATGAAATCATTTACACCAGTGCTTAATTTGTAATGAAAGAGGTGCCGGGGTTCAAGCAATTAGCTGCCAGGGCTCAAGAATTTTTTTTTACATTCATAACTGATGCAGCAGGCCCAGAGGTGCCGGGGCTATGAACTGCCAAGCCCAGAGGTGCCAGGGCTCAGCCCTGGCACAAATTAAGCCCTGATTTACACACAGAAATGAATTCCAGGCTGTGCTTCAGCCGTGAATGTCACAGGTGAAAAATATTTGCTAATGAATTATTCCAGTGGAATGAACAAATGAGGTGAGATACATGTTTGTCTGACTATTGTCCAGATATCTTTGTATCTGTAGTCTTAGATGGATACCTTACAAAGAAGTGATACCTTTATGCTGTACTAGTGTTATGGTGATACAAGAAACAGTGTGTCCATCAAAGTAACAGCCATGTGACAGCTACAACTCCCCAGGCTACTTTCCCATGGCCTCTTCCCAACACCTTCTTTATCCTCACCACAGGACCTTCTTCCTGATGCCAGATAGCATTTATACTCCTCAGTCCTCCAGCGGCATGCCCACACCCACACCCACGCCCACGCCCACGCCCACGCCCACTCACTCTCAGCTCCTTGCACACTCTTGCTCCCAGCTCCTCGCACACACCTTACGAACTGAAGTGAGTCCTTTTTAAAACCAGGTGCCCTGATTAGCCTGCCTGTCCTAATTGATTCTGGTAGCTTCTTAATTGGCTCCAGGTGTCCTAATTAGCCTGCCTCAGTTGGTTCCAGCAACTTCCTGATTGTTCTGGAACAGCCCATTATCTTACTCAGCGAAAAGGGACCTGCTTAATCTGGGGCTAATATATCTACCTTCGATCATTCCCCAGAGGCTGGGGTGGGGAGGCTTCTGCCCACCCACTTCCTGGATCCCAATAGGATCACTCTCCTGTAGCCATCTGGCCTGACCCTGTCACAATACACACACGGCTATGCAGAGCTCCATCCACCCTGCCCACATTTTGGTTCTCATTTCCTCCTATGCCCCCTTCTTATAGCATAGATTCCACAGAATCCTCTCAGCTTTCAGCTCTTATGTTTCATTCCACACTCAGCTTCATGCCTTTCTCATGTTGCTCCCTCCTGCAGAAGAGTGACTGTCCTATCCATCTCCAAGTCTGTCCCCAAAACTTACTTGTTTCATTTGGATACTGATCTTAGACACCTGATCAACACTATTCTCCCCTCTGACTCTCTCTCTCTTTCTCTCTCTTTCTCTCTCTCTTTTTCCACTGAATGCATCCAATGAAGTGAGCTGTAGCGCACGAAAGCTTATGCTCAAATAAATTTGTTAGTGTCTAAGGTGCCACAAGTACTCCTTTTCTCTTTCTTCTGATACTTTTAGGCTTTAAGCTGTTTAGGGAAGGATCTCTTATTTCCATGTGGGTTTTTTTTTCCATTGTCAAGTATACTGTAATGGGGGCCATCACCCCAAAATCACCCAGGTGACTTGGTGCAGCATTGCCATTGTGTCTGCCTCAGTTTCCCTGAGTGAGGGTTTTAATAAAGCCAGTGAGGCTTGTACATTGAACAGCACCCCTTCAGGGGTCTAATTTATTCAACCCCAAAGACAGAACCATCATGTAAATAGGCCTCCCCCTCTATCTGTATCTGTAGCAGGACAGGGAGGAGGCTGAGTCAGCCTTTGTCTGTCAACGCTAATTATGTCCAAGGTTCCTTATCTGTGAGGCCTTTGTGACCCAGAACCCTTTTCTGGAGTCAGGGCTGTCTTGTCATTAGCTGGGGGAGGGTCTCTCCTATTGCATCAAACTTCCCACAGAGGCTGACCCTCCCCAGGATAACATAAAATTCCTCTTTTCCCCAGGCTTTTGTTGCCCAGTGAACTCTTTCAAAGTAGCCAGGTTTCTCTGAGATTTGTCATTCATAGTCCCTTCTTGTCACAACTACTCCCACCCAGGAGCATTTTTATTTGGTTTTCTTTGCTGGTGACCTCCATCACCAGCTTCCCCTGAGAAGCCTTCTCCATAGACATGTTCTCCTACTTTCTGGGAACTGTTCCTCTCCCCAGGAGCCTCTGTTCCCCTAGCTAGCCACCACCAGGCATAGCTTCCTTTTATCGCACCAGAGTGCTCCCCTCTGGTGTAATTAACTGCCTCTCAGAACCTCTCAGAGGTCAGCACAACTACTGACCACTTCGGGGGCCAGCTGCCCTCTGGCACACACCCTAAGGTGCTATGCAAATAATAAAAACATTGGATACAAAGTGCGCTGATGACATACTAATGATGCAGCACGCACTGAACAGCCTATTTTGTGTGTTGTTTATTTTAGAGCCAGACATTCAGCAGGCCTCCTTAGCTGAATCCACAAAAATTGTGAGTGGATCCACTGTGCAGTCACAACATATAACTACATACTTCAACAAGTTGCTTGATGGGTGACTGCTCATTTGCACATTGAAAGCGTGGTTAGGTATATTTTGTTAGGATATTTCTTTTAAACTTTGTCTACCTACATTTTTTTTTCACGCAAGTGATTTGTTTCTACAGATTTCTTCCATGTTTTAATGTTACGCGACAGCACTTCAAAACACGGGAACAGCTCTCGCTGAAACACCATTTTATATATCGCTCAAAGTGCTGTTATCAAACGTCTGTCTCTGTATTTTCCTTAGCCAATTCCTTTGAATTTATTCTAATCTCCAAAACCGGCAGCACTTTTTCAAACCAGACAACCCTGGGTAAAAGTGTATTGCACTGCTGCATAGGGAGACCAAATTAGGGTTAACCTCGAGTTTTCATTCACTGTTCAGGGAAAGACATAGAAGCAATATTGTCAACCCCCAAGAGCCTAGATTGTTATGGAGCGGTCTCTGATGCAGGAGTTCATCTCATGCTGTATGAAGGGGATTTACAAAGGGGGGAGAAGGTGGCACAGAATTTTTTTTTTTTGCATAAAATCAGCCCTGCCATTTGGACTGGTTCCATTTCTGTGAGTCATTCTCTTGGGAGTAGCAAAAGCCCCCGCTAAGCTATGGCCAAGGTTAAACAGGGTGTGAGTGAGAGAGAGAGAGAGAGAGAGAGAGAGAGAGAGACCTGTCCTCCACACCAATTCTTGACTATTTGGGGCACCTACCAAGTGAAGAATTTTTTTAATCAGTTGTTTAGCAGCTCCAAAAGCTCTGACACAGTCATTTCCATATGACCTTGTTTCCCACATTCTCAATCTGAGTGACGCTGTCTGGAGATCACTTTGTTGATTTGAATTGAATATCGTACTAACATGGGGACTGAAATCTGCCCTATTTCTTTGTCAGCTCAATTCATGGGGTCTCAATGTCCGCTCTAGCTGTCATCCCCCTAATTGTATCTTCCCCAGTTTCACTAAGGTGGAAGATACAATCCTCATCCCATTGAAATCCAGGGGAATTTCAGCATGGACTAACAAAACCAAGAATTGTTCTTAATGATCCAATCCAACATCCATTGAAGTCCATGGGCAGACTCAGTGGGAACAGGTGGCCCCTAAGTGATCATGTACATCATTCTGTGTTATTCTGGTGGAAGCATCAGTCATTCTGAAATTTTTTGCCATTATTCTCAATCCTTTCATTGATTTTTCAGTTTTCCAAGGCTATCGCAGATTTCTTATTAATTAGGGGCTCACAGTTTTCTTGTTTTAATTTTTCAATCCAGCTTGCAGTTTCACTGGCTTTCGCTTATATTTGTGCATTTTAAATTGAGTTATTTATCCTTCCCATGAGCAGAGATCCCTGTAGGTGCACTGATTGTCAGGATGAGTTGGGGACACTCCAAGGAATGGATGATGACTGCTTTGGGGCCTGAATTTTTCAATAATGCAGACCACATTTCTCAGTAGCTTCCTTATAACTTTGAAACACTGCTTTGATCTTCCTTTGCCTTAAACTTGCTGCTTGGGTTTAGCCTGATCATCTTATATAGCATGCAAGGTGGAATTATTCTCCATCACATAACTCCTCTATGTTATCCAGACTTGGAGATAACAAGAAAGCTGAATAAGATGGATGTCTATGGGAACCAATACTGGGGATTTTGAGAATAATAAAACCAAGACACTGTGTTTCTAGAAATACTTTATGTGGAAAGTGCAACAATTTCCTGGTTTAGTTCTTTAAAAGTATGTTCATTTTATTTACTATGTATTTTAAATACTATCACATTCCATAACAAAGTAACTCTGTCAATGTCCACAATGGGTGTTTAACAATTTCCTCTGAAATTTCTGCTAGTGGCTTCGATGATAGGCTACCTAACTACATGGATCATTCGTCTAATCCAGTATAGCAATACCTATGTTCACCATCATAATATATGAAATGTATCATTTTTATTTCTGTAGCTTTTCTCAATTAATAAAACCAGAGGATCTAGTTTATTACCTTTCTATGTTGAAGTTATTTTTAACAGCATGGTGAGTGAGAACTTACCCTGGTTCACATGAAAAGTGTATCAAACTTTGATAGTTCAAGTCTATAAAATGAACTATTCCATTTCTCATGGGTTCAGGATAGGGACATTTCTTTGCTGTTGTTTAAAGATGAGAGGATAATATTATTTCATGATATATAAAATAAAGCAGTCACAGTATTTAGAGCATTTAATGACTAGTGTCATTCAAGTTTCTTCACTTCTTTGTACACATTTTCATCACTCTATACATTTTATATTTGAAATCAAAACACATTTAAGATAGTTTCAAAGTTCTTAGTAATTAAATTAGCTCTGACAATTGATTAAGGGCTATGCAAAGCATGTGATATAAATAACTTGTCTGTGATTGAAGTCAATAAAGATTAAAGTTGTCAGGGTCCATTTAAGTATAATGGAATTTTGTAAACAAAAATATATTTCTATAGATGTCATTAAACTCAAAACCATCAATATTTTACTTACACGCTTTAAAACAATAGAATAAATGAACGTTCCAATTTTAAGGATGAAACAGCTGAGTTTAAATTTTGGTTATAAATATCATAAATAGTTACAGTTTTCAATGTATAAAGAACAACTCCACATAATTTCAATCTAAACACCTTTTATTTTGGATTGAGGGAATCAACAACAAGAAACAACAAAAGTAAAGCTCTCAATAGAGAGTGAAGTGTGCAACTCCTATCTAACAGCAGCAACCCAGAGAACAAAATAGCTGCTTACTTTACAATCTAAGAACTCAACTTTGCACTCAGTTCTTAGAATGTAAAGGCAAGAACACAGAAAATAAAGGCATCACAGCTTTGTAGCTAGATATATCACATGAACCATAAAAAAGCCTGTCAAACCAATGCACAGTCTATCAGCAGCAGAATATAACATCTAGGTTATATTTATGTATTTAAGTATTTATGATTTACTTACGTATACATCTCATTGTATTGATAGGCCATTTACCAGACCAAGGGCAAGTATACTTCCTTGAGCCACTCTGATGGCTATAACCAGGATCACAGGTGTACATAATTTCTTCACCTCTCTCATATATTCTCTTGTCTACATCAATTGTAGCAAATGGCACTTCACGGGGCTTGGGGCAAACTGGAAGAAAGGAAGCACTTTACAATAAAAGGCTTTAGTTATATATATAAAATCCTGGGCAGAGGATTTTTGTTTGTACAATTCAGAAAACTCAAGCACAGAGGTCTTCTACTCAGCTCAAAGGCATTTCTCCAGTTGTCTTTCTGTAACTGTTCATAGATCAAAGAACCACGTGATGGCACCCAGTGACACCTTTCAAAATAACAACACCCCCATCTTCGCTCTGCTGATCCTCCCAAGATAGTTTTAAGATGACAACACCCTGAATAATTTATCTCCCAGACAGAAAGAAAAGAAATAAGAACTGGGGGGCAGGAAGAGGGGTGCACACAGGGCCAGCTCTACAGTTTTGGCCGCCCCAAGCAGTGAAAAAAACTGCCACCGCAGCCCCAAAGGGGAGAAGCTGCTGCCGATTTGCCACCCCTTTGGAACTGCCCCCCAAGCACCCGCTTGGAATGCTGGTGCCTGGAGCTGGCCCTGGGTGCACACAGAACCCCTGGCATGGGCGGGAAGAATGGAGGACCCTGGGAAGGGGGGCTCACCCAGAACCCCTGCCACGGATGGAAAAAGGGCGACAATTGTATGGGGGAGTTGTTGGGCATACAAATTTACCCTAATTGTGAGCTCAACTGTGAAAAGCAAGTGAAAGTTCATAAAATGTCACAATAACCTACAACAACAAATGTTGATAGGAAAAGACGCAAAAAAGAGACAGACTGAATTAGTCCGAACAAAAAGACCTCCTGATATAACTACCAGGCATGATCTTAACACAGGCCTTGAAACAGGAAAAGTGTGGAACCAGAAATCAAAGAACCAAAATTGGTGTGTCGGGTATTAGACCTAATCGGTAGACAAAATAATAAGAGGCTGGACTATTCCTCCCCGTCATTTTTAAGAGTCGTACAAAGAAAACACTTTGGAGAGAAAAATTGGCTACTGGTGCAAGTTTCACCATTATGGTTGCCACCCCCACCATCTTCTGGAACCCAGTCCCTTTTTTCATCCTGACCCTGAAAGAGGTCCTGACCAGACATGGCCAGAGAAAGGAACACAGATGACATTGCCACCTCAACCAGCTGAATCCCAACCATCACCTGGGATGTGAGACTTTGTTTGTGTGTGTGTGTGTGTGTCTGCCTGTCTGTCTGTCACACAAACACCTTTGTGTGGTCTTGTCCTTGTCTCACCCCCTTGTGTGTTCTTTCCGTGTCTCTCACACCCATTCTTGTTCGGCTTTTCCTTCCCCACATTATTTCTTCAGTTTCCTAGCTCTCACCTTTTTCCTTCTAATGAGAGTCTGGTTTTGCTGGCCAAGACTGCATATTTTGTAAAACTGCTGTAAGCTGTGACCCGAAAAAGACACCCAAAAGCAATGCCCAAAAGAGCCCGAATGCTTGTCCAAGTTTGTCAGGGCTCAGGGTGGCTGATAAGATCATGTGCTGTGCCAGTGTTTTTCCAGCAGCGAGGTTGCAAGTGGGAGTCAACACCAGAGACAGATGCTGCATTTTCTACCCTCTCTATTCGTTTCTCTCCCTTTGAGTGTGGGTTGGTCTTGTTTTATCTTCTGAGAAATGGGCTCAGACTTTAACAGCAGCAATCATACAGTTCCAGCCTATCTCAATTAACTTCTCTTTTCCACCCATAGGACAGTTACCATCTAAGAGACTTTCAGATAAAGGGGGGTTTCTGTCTAAAGGAAGTGGAAACAAGGGATGTTATAATGAAAGTCATATTTAATACTTTACATTTCAAATGCCTTAATGGTTTTAACCTTTTATTAAAGATACAAAAAAGGAAAAGATTTTTAATGGTGTGTTTGCCATGGTACTAAGCAAGCTGAGGTATCTGTATACAAAACCCTAAACCTTGTCTAAAACTCTGTAATGTTTAACTCTTTAGGTCCTTTATTCTGTCTAAATTAACACAACAGATGGGACACACAGTGCCCCTGACATGTGGCAGAAGGTGAAATGGGGAGCCCACCCAGAACCCCTGCCATGGTGGGAAGGCAGGGGTATGTGGAGGAAAGAAGGAATAGGGGCCCACACCAAACCCCTGGAAAGGGGGAGTATAGGGGACAATGGTATTGGGGAGTGGGAGACAGGAGATACACAGAGCTCCTGGCGTGTTGTGAGGAGAATGGAAGATCCTGGTATGGGGGTGGAGGGATGCTATGAGGACACAGAGAAGGGGGGAGTGGGACGGTTGCAGGGAGTCCCTGAAATAGAGAATGATGGTAGGATGGCACACAGGAAGCTGGGGAGTCGGGGGAACAGTGAAATACAAGGAGCCCCTGATATGTGCAATGCCATACGCTCAGCCTACAGAAGCAGTACAAGGTGATAGCATTTTTCTTGAAAACTAATATTTTGGCCAGACTTTTCCAACTGCTTGAGAACACCCAGAGATTCCGCAAAACCCCCCTCACCACCAAGGTGCTCCCATCCTCACCGTCTATCTACAACACAGAACATTATTTGCTATGCAAAAGTCAAAGATACTTACCATGTTCTGCAAGAGCACCGTGTGCTAGAGTAACAATCCACAAGAACAGCACAGTGGGCATTGCTGCGAGTTCACAAGCCTCCAAAATGACTCTAAACTAGCTGTTTCTTCTCTTAAACAAAGCAGACAACCACAAGGTTTGTAAATATTAACTCTTCATGTTTACTCTGATCTAGTAAATAGAAGATAGAAGATTGCTGGCAATACAGGCAGAAATGTTCCTCTCCTGCTTGTTGTTCATGTATTACAGGAATTCAGACAGTGATCGATTCTGAAGGTCACTCATCTCTGCCTGATGGTTCCCCCGGATTTTGTCCTCTTGAATTTGTGTTTTCAAGAAAGTAGGCACCAACTAAGTCATCTCCCAATCTTTCAGGGCCAGTTCCTTATCAGGTGTAAATTGATGTAGCTCCATTCAACAGTGAGGAAGCTGATTTACACAGGCTGAAAAAAAAAATCTGGGTGATACTGGCTGACCAGGTCATGCTAGAGAGTATTCAGGTCAATTCACTTGTGTATTAGATCAAAGTGATTGTAAACGTACTTTTGGGTGTTTAAACTTCATAAAACTAATGGGATGTTACTTGTATTGTTTTTGCTTCTCTATTCCTGTCATAATGTAATAGGAAACATTTACTGGGAAAATACTCGTGAAACTAAATTACACATTGAAGAAATCTTGTGAAATGCTCATGAAGGACTCTATGGTAAGACTGGTACAGTGATCCAGGAATTCACATTTGTTACTGCCTTGGGGAAATCTAATTACAGAATATATCACCAGTTGGGCGGGGGGGTCTTCCTGGTTTTCTGACAGTCTGACCTGAGACTGGCACTCACAGTTGTGAGCCACTCCAGACAGCTTGACAATCTGGCCCTCAGACTTTTACTCTGCATGGGAGAGGGTAGCCCTCTGTAACAGAACAGCTTGCCCTGTGGGCTGGAGAACCTCGGGTTAAGCCAATCCTGATTATGGAATGAGCCCACTTTGCGGGGAATCAAGCAATTCCCTATAAAAAACAGAAGGTGGCTGCAGTGAACGGGGGAAGCTCAGGGAGTTGTAGTGATGCTGGTGAACACTGTGGTTGCTGAAGAAGAAAGGAGCTGGGACAGGATGATTCCTGAAGGACCATAACACCAGTGAGCTTGGAGAGTAAAGTGGTGAGTGGTGGTTCACAGAAGACAGGGAAGAAACCCTGACTGTGTTTAGGAATGGACATAAGAACCCAAGCAGGGAGGAGTGATTGGGAGACTCAGACTGGAATGGAAGAAGAGCCCTGGGAATGAGAGAAAATCCCAGAACAAAGTATGGAATTTTTTTGTGTTGGACTGAGCTCCAGTTTAGGACTCTGGTTTGTTGCAAATTTGTTCTGGTATTAAACTAGTCCCAGACAGGGGTACTATTAACCAGAGAGCCTCTGAGTTTTTAAAGGGGCCTGAAGAGAGGAAAAAGAGAAGCTGGGAGTCTGCAGAGACAATCCCGCTCCCCTGGCCAGGAGGGAGTGCTAAATAAGCAGCAGTCCTGTTATACCATCCTACTGCATATGGTGGTCATGCCAGCCAGACACCACTGCTAGTAGCCAACATAGTTCTTCCTTTCCTGTGCAATAACCATCTTTTGCCCCACAAAGGCCTAAGAGTAGCTCAGAATGGGAACACAATGGAACAAACACTGTAAGACAAGAATCTTAAAATGGTGGTGGTGGAGTGGGCTAACTTATTCAATATACAGTGATCACAGATCAATTGCCAAATTCTCAGCAGGTGTAAATCATGGTCGCTCCTCTGATTGTGGAGCAGAGGATCAGTGACTCCAGAGCTACACTGATTTACACCAGGTGAGGAGCAAGCTCAATAAACTTCTGGTGTAGAAGTTTTAGCTAGTTCTCTCTTGAGGCAACCTCTCTTCAGCTGGTGGAAACTTTTCAAGTGCAACCGAAATAACACTGTAATCTCTTTCACGCGTTGACATTTCTAATCTAAGAAAAGTCCTCACCCCTAGCAGCAGCCTGACTCACTTTGTGCGGGGGAGCATGGGGCCACAGACAATTGCCCTGCTTGCTACCCCCTAACGCGGGCCCTGGCTTTTATATGCAGAAAAACAGTTCTTGTGGCATAGATGGGCCATGGAGTTTTTATAGCCTACTGGGGGGGGGGGGGGGGGCTTAAAAAGAAAAAGGTTTAGAACCCCTGGTATAAGGCAGGATTTGAACACTCCGCTGGTGGTGGCTTTGCCCACCTGTTTGGGGAAGGTATTTCACACATACAGAGTAGCCTGGTCACAACTGTAGGACAAGTAGACAGATGGAGCATGGAGTCTGGCATCAATGGCATGCTGGAGTATCTTTGGGTGTGATGTTGTGCGGGGCTGGGCTGGGTCTATACACACACTCTAACCAATGTCCGTTCTGAAACCGTTTAGCCTTTGTTTTTAAAAAGCGTCTGTTTGCATTTAAAATATAAACTTTGACCAGAATATTAAATAATCAGAAACATGCGAATCTCTTCAGATTGAAAGTGTTTTTAACAGTTTCTGTGCTTTGGCTCTGAGTGCCTTGCACAAAATATTTACCAAACTCACACAGTCAAAGGACAAAGTGCAGCTTTTCAACCTCTAACAAAACTTGACTCCCATGAGTCTTTTCTCCTATTTACATTATTTATTAGTCACAGTTTTTCTATTCCTTTAAAAAAAATATTGACAAAACATCTTTACCCTTGCCAAGACCTATGGGAAGATGAGATGAGCTCTAAACTTTTCCTTTTTGGCTTAACACCTTGCCAGGCTCTAGCTACTATTGATGTTACATTCTGACCTATGTTTTAAAACAACACAGGAACACGAAGGCCCAACTTGCCTGAGTCAAGAGATTTCACCATTAGTCAATCTCCATGTGAGCATTTCCCATAATGATCACCAGATGGCATAATGTACTCGATTGTGTATCACACCGCTATAAGCATGAGCTGAAAAGCTTTATATGCTGCTTTAAGACAAAAGATGCAACAGAAAAACAATGGATTGAATAAGTTTCAGGTTAACTGGTATCTTCATAGATATTTGAATATCCACACCAAATGGTCCCATTTCCTATTTATGAATAGATCTTTACCATTCCCCTGCATATCAAACTGAATGCAAAATGTGAGAATGCAGTCAATTCCATAACAACTACTGATACTCACTTCTGAAGCTCTTATTTAGCTTTTTATTTTGCAGCAGCAAAGAAATGTTAGAACGCATGCATGTCACACACAGGAATATTTTCTTCCAGTCCATGGGAATGAATAGTTAAGGAATAAATGTTGGGGTCGGGCTTACATGGCTCCTCTTGGCATAGAATCAGCAAGCCAATCAAGCTAAAGAAAAACTTTTTTCTCTCTGCATGTGGAGGATAGTCTTTAATTATACATGTCATCTAAAGCCCTGATCTTTCTTGCCATCCCTTTAGCACATAAATAACTTTATGGACATGAACATGAACAGCAATTTACTTCATGTGCACAAGTATTTACAGCATGCGAGCCTAAATTAAAGACAGCATGCCTGCCACAAAATGAACAGGGGAATATGCTTCCTCAAAGAAAGAGCAACTTGTTTTCCCCTTTTGGCAGATGCCTAGGGACTGAATACTTCCTTGCTATTTGTTTCATGCACCTTTTGTGAGCAGGTCCATTCTCAAGGTTATGTTGATCTCTTTGTCGAAGTGGGCTTTCAGTTTCTCAAGGAGAGAAACAAAACCAGGATTCAATCCAGACCACGAGTGTAATTTTCCTGAAAAGGTAAAAATGAAATTAAGTCGAGAATTCAGGAGATTTAAGAGGGTAAAACGGTCCCTTTTGGAAACTGTAGAGCTGGTGTTTAGTGGTTCTTCAGTTGTTGTTTGATCCCTCCAGTTCATAGGTATATTCATTTTTACACGTGAACATAAGAAGATATTGAGCTCAATAAAATCTTGTGCAGGGGTTTGTTTGGTTTCCTTTTCTTGAAATAAACACAAAGGGCCAGGTCGCAACCCCTTTCCCCAGGCTGCCAGAGGAAGAGAACTTCAGAAAGTTCCAGTGACCTGTGCAGGAATGGTGAGATCCAAGGCCTGGTCTCTGCAGTGAGCACAGGGTACAGTGCACCCCAGTTATTAGCATTACTCATCATTAGGGCTCCGTGTCTGTCCCGGAGGTTGTGGAAGTCACAGATTCTGTGACTTTCTGCGACCTCTGTGACTTCTGCAGCAGCCAGCGGCTGACCACAGGGCTGCCCAAGCAGCTGGCTCCAGCATCAGTTGCTCAGGTGGCCTTGGGGACAGCCACACTGGCCGCTGCTCGGGCAGCCGGGGGCAGCCACTCCCCAGGGACCATCCACAGCTGAGGCTGCTGGCCCTGGCCTCCCCAGCAGTGCCTCCCCCTTGTGGTGCCCCTCCCCAAGATTTAGTCCAGGGTATTTATAGTATAAGTCAAGGGCAGGTCATGGGCAGTGAATTTTTGTTTATTGGCTGTGACTTGTCCATGACTTTTACTGAAGATACCTGTGACTAAATCGTAGCCTTACTCATCATAACTCTTTCTAGTTACTGTTCCAGCCTGTTTTAGGAGCATTGTAGATAGCAAAGATATTTATGGGAGAGGTGTCCCATCAGGAGCCTAAATAGCATACCCAACCTGAAAATGCAACTGGGAAAGGGGGAGGGAGAACTGAACTGTGATGTGACAGTTCCTGCTATCTATGAACTTTTCACAAGAATGTCTGAGTTTCTATAATCTGTGTCTCCTTCTCAATGGTCACTATATTACAGAGTGTGCTATGCCTACGACCCTTCCAGTCTTTCTTGGCGTGCACTTCTCTTAGTGATAGGCCCTGGCCCTCCATTTTGCTCAAGGGGAGCCCCACAACTGTGATACTGGGTCCCTGACTTCAGCACCTCTGTTTCTCACCATTGCTTCTTCATCAGGTCCAAAAGAGCTTGGAACCGCATTGGAGAATTCCCCTTCTGGGAGCTATGCAACCAGCAAGTGTTTGCAGTGACACAGACAGCCTTTTCAAAACAAGACATTATTAATCAGTGGGAATGCAGT